TTCGCTCCATGTAACAAACAAATTATGGCAATTAAGCTTCTTTCAACCAATTTGGAACGATTTATAAGACAGATTAACTCTCCGCTTACGCGTAATTAGCGCGAATTATATCGCGCGTTAACTGTCCCAAATTGGCCAAAATGGCCAAAATGGCAAACTTTAAACATTCATAACTTTACGAAAAATGAGCACAGGTAAAATATATTTTCAAATGTAAGCTCAGGACAACAATAGCTTTCGAATGATATTAAAAAATTCCGTCAAAAATGGCTAGTTAAAAAGTCGAAATTTGTCTCAAGAAAAAAAACCCACCCCGAGCACAAATATTCCTCAACTTTCGTATCGAAAGTCGGAACAATAACGCGCTCTGGAGTTTTATGGATAATAATCGATTATCTTGTCATTTTACAATCAGTATCTATAAAATTACTAAAAGAATGTATTATAATCCATCGAAAATGGATTATAAAATTGGTATTTTTAGTATCAATATATTCCATTATAATCGATTATAATCCATTTAGAAAAATTGTAGTCATAATACTTTTTAAATCATTGTTGTCCATTATAATAGATCATAATCGATTATAATGAATTCTTTGTGACGAAATTATGAAATTCGCAATTTTTAAAAATTATCTCATATCTTGTTTTGTGCAGTTGCTAGGTATTGTGTTTCATAAATTTTCACTTTTCACATGAAATTTTTATTATTTAAGTTTTCTCTACTTTTTTATACTACGTAAGCTCCATCGCCTCTTTTACCAACCCCCTTCCCCAGTTTACCCCCCCCCCCCCCCCCCCCCCCCCACAGCTTACACCTCCTCAGTTTATCCTCCGCCCGTTTACTGAACGTGGGTAAGGTAAAAAAATGGGGGGGGGGGGGGTGGGAGGGTGGAACAAAAAACTTGAATGAGGCGGTTAAATTGGAGAATGGGGGTAAATAGGTGTTGTTCACACTGAGTAACCCCTCCCCGGTCCCGTTCAACGGTGAACAAACTATCGGGGGGGGAGGAATTGTAACTTGGGGGTGTGGTTTTGGGGGTAAACTTTACTAAATATGGGGGTGGGCGTAGGGATAAACGTAGGGGAATGTAGGGGGGAGGGGGTGGGGTTTGGGCAAATGTGGATGGGGGCAAAGTGAGGGAGGGGGGTTAGTTTGAGTAGGTTTAGGTTGCATGTAGGCCGTGAGTAACGCAGAAATATTGCAAGTTTTGCGAATAATTTTGCAAAAAAATGTAAAGGTTATGAACCGTTATAATCAATTATAATGGATTTTAAATGGATTATAATCCATTATAATGGATTTCAATGAATCGTGTTTTTACGAAATTGATCGATTATAATGACAATATAATCGGTTTCGTGGTCTTAATTTGCAACAAAAATGGATTATCATGACAGCAGTTTAGACAACAATTTTCCCTTGTAATCGAATACTATCCATGAAACTCTGGTGCGGGAAACTCCTGATTAAGTCACCGGTCCGGTTAATAAGACAAAAAGAAACGCCGTACAAAGATTTTAGGTTCGAACATCAAACAATAGGACTATCGGATGCCTTGTAAAAATAACAACCTAGAAAAACTAAAATTACTCCTGACAAGGCATTGCTGGGAGTGTTTTGACTGCTCTTCAAAGCTTACTTTTTTTCATGATTATTAAAATAATAAAACTGTAAAAAAAATTGAAAAAAAGAATGAAATTTTGCTAGAATTTAACTTAAGTATTCCCCAACATTGCAAAACCAACAAAGATGGCCTAATTCGTTTTAGTAAGATTTTCATTTGAACCAGATTGAATTTCAGCTTACGTATATAGAACAAAGAAATTTTTCAATCCCCCATAAGATTACAACAAGACTGATCGCGTGTTCAGCAGTGACCTATCATTAAGGTTTGAGAGCATAATGGGTCCAAGAGCAGAATGACAAAAAAAAATAATTTTTGTAAGCTAATCGGTAAATTAAATTTAAAAATTGTCAAAATTACCAAAGAAACAAATATTTTATGCATTTTTTGACTAATTTAATCGAGACTTTTTTTAAAGCTTGTTTGAAAAATTCGGTGAAATCTTTCAAATCATTCAAAATTTTAAAAAAATTTTCGTGTTCATTCACGATATTCTAAAAATTATTGCATCATCATTTAGCCTGTATAAATTTAAATAAACAATTTAATATTTTTCTGTTTTTTTTCTGCCCTTGGACCCATTCTGCACTTAGACGATTCTGCTTTTTGCTCTGCCTCCATATTCAACGTATCCTCCTTCACGGTGATTAAGCCAAAGATGGATGCAATGACATTTCATATTCTATTAATAAGACAAAAATCTCCATAACTTTACATAAATCTATCACAAGGGATTTGTTTTACATTTGAGCTCCATACAATTATATATTACATATGGTATTAAAAGTTTTTAAAAAAGAGCTTAATTAACAAACCACAACAAGCATAACAATTCCGATTTTTCTTCGAACCTCGAAAAAATGATCATATATAGTGTTTTTCAACTTGAGCTCACAAAGTTAATACCTTTAGGATAATATAAAATAACGCACTCAAAATTTCATTTTAGTTCATGATTCGGATTCCAAAAACAGGCTACATTTTCCCAATCTACAAGCAAATTGGGAAAATATATTCCATTATAATCGATTATAATCCATTTAGAAAAATTGTAGTCATAATACTTTTTAAATCATTGTTGTCCATTATAATAGATCATAATCGATTATAATGAATTCTTTGTGACGAAATTATGAAATTCGCAATTTTTAAAAATTATCTCATATCTTGTTTTGTGCAGTTGCTAGGTATTGTGTTTCATAAATTTTCACTTTTCACATGAAATTTTTATTATTTAAGTTTTCTCTACTTTTTTATACTACGTAAGCTCCATCGCCTCTTTTACCAACCCCCTTCCCCAGTTTACCCCCCCCCCCACAGCTTACACCTCCTCAGTTTATCCTCCGCCCGTTTACTGAACGTGGGTAAGGTAAAAAAATGGGGGGGGGGGGTGGGAGGGTGGAACAAAAAACTTGAATGAGGCGGTTAAATTGGAGAATGGGGGTAAATAGGTGTTGTTCACACTGAGTAACCCCTCCCCGGTCCCGTTCAACGGTGAACAAACTATCGGGGGGGGGGGAGGAATTGTAACTTGGGGGGTGTGGTTTTGGGGGTAAACTTTACTAAATATGGGGGTGGGCGTAGGGATAAACGTAGGGGAATGTAGGGGGGAGGGGGTGGGGTTTGGGCAAATGTGGATGGGGGCAAAGTGAGGGAGGGGGGTTAGTTTGAGTAGGTTTAGGTTGCATGTAGGCCGTGAGTAACGCAGAAATATTGCAAGTTTTGCGAATAATTTTGCAAAAAAATGTAAAGGTTATGAACCGTTATAATCAATTATAATGGATTTTAAATGGATTATAATCCATTATAATGGATTTCAATGAATCGTGTTTTTACGAAATTGATCGATTATAATGACAATATAATCGGTTTCGTGGTCTTAATTTGTAACAAAAATGGATTATCATGACAGCAGTTTAGACAACAATTTTCCCTTGTAATCGAATACTATCCATGAAACTCTGGTGCGGGAAACTCCTGATTAAGTCACCGGTCCGGTTAATAAGACAAAAAGAAACGCCGTACAAAGATTTTAGGTTCGAACATCAAACAATAGGACTATCGGATGCCTTGTAAAAATAACAACCTAGAAAAACTAAAATTACTCCTGACAAGGCATTGCTGGGAGTGTTTTGACTGCTCTTCAAAGCTTACTTTTTTTCATGATTATTAAAATAATAAAACTGTAAAAAAAATTGAAAAAAAGAATGAAATTTTGCTAGAATTTAACTTAAGTATTCCCCAACATTGCAAAACCAACAAAGATGGCCTAATTCGTTTTAGTAAGATTTTCATTTGAACCAGATTGAATTTCAGCTTACGTATATAGAACAAAGAAATTTTTCAATCCCCCATAAGATTACAACAAGACTGATCGCGTGTTCAGCAGTGACCTATCATTAAGGTTTGAGAGCATAATGGGTCCAAGAGCAGAATGACAAAAAAAATAATTTTTGTAAGCTAATCGGTAAATTAAATTTAAAAATTGTCAAAATTACCAAAGAAACAAATATTTTATGCATTTTTTGACTAATTTAATCGAGACTTTTTTTAAAGCTTGTTTGAAAAATTCGGTGAAATCTTTCAAATCATTCAAAATTTTAAAAAAATTTTCGTGTTCATTCACGATATTCTAAAAATTATTGCATCATCATTTAGCCTGTATAAATTTAAATAAACAATTTAATATTTTTCTGTTTTTTTTCTGCCCTTGGACCCATTCTGCACTTAGACGATTCTGCTTTTTGCTCTGCCTCCATATTCAACGTATCCTCCTTCACGGTGATTAAGCCAAAGATGGATGCAATGACATTTCATATTCTATTAATAAGTCAAAAATCTCCATAACTTTACATAAATCTATCACAAGGGATTTTTTTCACATTTGAGCTCCATACAATTATATCTTACATATGCTATTAAAAGTTTTTAAAAAAGAGCTTAATTAACAAACTACAACAAGCATAACAATTCCGATTTTTCTTCGAACCTCGAAAAAATGATCATATATAGTGTTTTTCAACTTGAGCTCACAAAGTTAATACCTTTAGGATAATATAAAATAACGCACTCAAAATTTCATTTTAGTTCATGATTCGGATTCCAAAAACAGGCTACATTTTCCCAATCTACAAGCAAATTGGGAAAATATTTGAAAAACAAAAGAAACGTTTCTAAAAGTTTTTTCCTATTTTTTTTCTTCATTTCTTAGGTTACTTGCACATCAATCACATATTTTTGGCCGTTTTATTTGCAGTTTTAATGGGGGTCTTATTTTTTACCAGAAGCACTTTGTTTAAGACACAACTAAAAAGTGGAAAAATTCTGAAATGGCAATTTGATTATGTTTAAGTAATAGGTCATATTTACCTGAACTTTGTTTGATGGTCAATAAATGAAAGCTAAAAAGTTCGGAAGTACACCCGCACTTTAGATCACCGCCGTCTCAAATAAATTATTTATTTCAAAAGTAGGACAGTTTTGAGCTTGTCTATAATTTTGGGACATTTAATGCATTACAGCGAGTTAGATGACAGAAAATTAATAATAATAGAGCTTTGTTGATGAAACAAAACGAAAAGTTTGTCAAAGGCAAATAATTGAACAAATCTTGGTCTGTATATTAAACTCTCGCAACGCAAGTTTTGATCTGACCAAACGCATGGTATCATTTGACTCATATGTAATACATAAATAAATAGACTTTAGGCCATGATTATTTTGAAGTTACGTTTAAACCGTGCAGTTTATAGTCTACAACATCAATTTGGCACAGACTTAATTCTGTTTCTAATGTCGTCGAATCGAAATGGTATATGTGCAAATGAAAATGTGATTACATCAGACGTTTCATCCAAGAAGAGTATACTCTTCATCTAATGATGGAAACAGATATGCAATTGGTTTCCTTAAGAGCTACGCAAGATGCTCCCAAGTTTATTTTACGATAAGGAAAACGAGAAACGAAGCACCGTGAACGCTGAAGCAGTTAATTGCAGATCGTGGAGTACCGTCTAGTCGAAACATTTCGAACAAAACTGTTTGTAAAAAAGTTGTGCAAGTATTCTCAGCGCCACACACACTAAATGGCAAGGTTGAGAGGGTTTAGAGAAAAGTACTGTGGATTGGTTTTTTGCATTGTTGCAACAGCGAGCAAGCAACAGGAATACTAGCGCAACGAATAATGAGAGTAATTGTGGAAAAAAAATATGTGGCTGAAGTTTCATCCCAATACCGGTAAAAGACCGTAGAGACGTATTCTCTTGCGAAATAGGACGCTTCTAAAAGAATAATGATTTCAATTGCAGTCAACAAGGTCATAAAATTGACGTATTTGAAAATCAAACTAGTTTTAGTGCGGTTTTCCCGCCAAAAAAAAAACAATTTTTTGAGTTTCTAACTAATGTCCACGTGGTCCAGCGGCCATGAACATAGGTGTCAGGACTATTTGCCCCAAGTCAATTGGCCCTATGCCAACTTGTACTATACTAACTTGCCCTACATGGCAACTTGTCCTATGCCAACTTGCCCCACATGACATTTTGTCCTATGCCGTTTTATCCCATACTTAACACTTTTACTTGATTCATTGATGTTAAAATTGAGGACCAGCAAGTGCTAATGTACACTGGACTCATTTCGAGATAACAAAAGACTATAACCGAAAATATTCAAAGCTGAGCCTAAAAAACCATAATTTTTGGTATTTACACGCCAAACGTTGACAATAATCTACAATTAGCGCCTTTGAAACAAAATGAAACACGGCTATTCTTTCATTTTGCTTCATTGTTTACCATTTCGTTCTTAAACATCCACATAAATACTTCAACATAAATACTATGAGTCAACTTACGTGGGGAATTTCTCAACGAAACAAACGAACGCTAATTATTGACGGACACGATTTCACAAAAAAGCAGACGACAAAAACTACTGAGCACTGGAGATGCGCAAGATACAGTTCACACAAATGCCGCATGCTCGCCGTCACAGCAGGAGATGAACTCGTCTCAACAAACAATGAGCACAGCCACGATGTTAGACCTGGGAAAACTGAGGCAAACCAGATCATGCATCAAATGAAAAAAAAGGCCAAATTGTACCTGTTAATAGTAGTATAATTGCCATTTGTCTCTAGGAAGTAACTGATGAGAAAGCTGTTCAATTATCCTTGCCCAGTCGTGCAGCAATAAACAGAACTCTTAACCGCCAGAAACAGAACTTGGTCCCGTCCTTGCCAATCATTAAAGACAGGCATTTCATAATTCCGATGGAATATTCTGATTTCTGTTCATTCGACAGTGGAGTTATGGATCCAGAGCGAATTTTGATTTTCGTTGATCGAGATAATGTTCATGCCCTCCGAGTTCACAATTCTCTTTGGCTTTGCGACGGTACATTCAAAATTTGCCCAATGCAATTTTATCAGCTTTATACCATTCATATTCAAATCGGTGGATTTTACCCACTTTTCCTGAATTTTTTCATTTTCCAATTCGAGCTTCACCTTTTGTTCGATCTCCTTTGTTACCAATTGCTGCTGGACTCTGAATAGAGCATCCCTCGCGGCTGCCTTATAGTCGATCTTGAAGTCATCCACTGCAGTCACTGGTTCCGTTTCACATATCTCTTCCGTTACCGCCTGCATCTTCTTCGTTGCCAGCTCTTGTGGTTTCTCTTTTCTGCGTGCCTCTGCATCATTCAACAGGCGAGCCTTGCTAGCTTTCACAATCGATAAAGTTTCCTCATGCCTTGGATGATTGATGTCTGCCACAGCATCCCAGAAATGTGGACAATCCGATTTAAAATGACCTCCCAAGTTATAAAAGAAACACCTTGGGCCGAATTTCGCAATTACTCCTCTCATGAAATCTTCATGATCGAACTCTGACGCATCTTCATCCTCGATGCTAAAGCCTATTGCTTTCATTCCCTGTTTGTAAGTTGGGCATGCTGACACATGACGGTCCATCGAACTGCAATTAGCACAAGAGCGTCTCTTGTCCATATCGTCCCTTGGTTTGTACCAGTTGTTTCCTTGGTTTCCTGGTCCATTGTTAAAATTGCCATAACTGTTTTTGTAATATCCAGTTCTCGATGTGGGCTTCAGCAAAATATATTCTTTTGACTTGAGTCTCAACTCCTCTGGTGTTGGCGCATTGGTTGAGAGTGGTGTGTAATGTGTCGCCAACATTGTTCGAAGTTCATCATTTTTCACACCATCGATGAATTTTGGGGCTACTGCCAGGTTCATTCTTCTGTTTGACTCATCTGGTTGGCTACGCCTTCTCAGCATCTCCAATTTTCTAGAAACTTGTCTATCGTCTCATCTTTACGTTGCCTCCATTTCTCGAAGCGCATCATTGCTTGGTGTCCTTGCACCCCTGAGCCGAAACGATATAACAAGATTTCAAAGATTTTCTCAACAGTTTAGGGCTGGTAAGCGCACTGCATTCTTGTCTTTCTGACAAGTCCTTTTCTTCAAAATGCAGTTTCATTACCTCTATCCAGGCATCAATACAGCCATCAGATTCGTCTTTATAGCATCCTGGTTTCTTAAATACCCTTCTGGACTTTCACTGCGTTCATTGGTTCTTGATAACCTCGTAAGAATTGTTTCCAAGGACCTGTTTAGAGGTTCAAAGGCATTGATGCAGCGTCTCTTGGATGCCCCGCCTGATTATCTTCGCCCCCTGGTAAGGGCTCCGGATTTTCCCTCCTGTCCGACTCGCTGGGATTTTTTCTTCCTTGGCTCGCATGACTCCTGTTCCTGGAATCACATCTCCCAGTCGCATGTGTATCTTGCGTCGGTCTTTCGTTTGAGGTCTGTCTGTTGCCATTTGAACTTACCTTGATGTTTGGGCCCCGTGGTCTATTGTCCCCTGTGGTATAGCCTGATGAACTGCCCCTTCCTCTAGTGGATCCATATGTCCTTCTTCTATTCTGTTGTTCATTGAAGTTCACCCTCGGCTCCCTACTGGGTTCTCCAGAGTTCGAGTCCCCACTTCTGCTCCACTCCTGCTGCCTAGTAGCCCGTCCAACCTATCCATGATAGCCTGAGTTCGCCTCTCCATCATCGCATCTATATTCGTGTCAAGAGTCCCAAGAGTCAGCTCTCTTGAATTCTCAACTTCTCCATGTCGTATTTTAATCGAAACTCTCTTTAATCAGCCTCCCTAAACAATCGCGACAGGTTCTTCGCTAAGTGTTCATCCGTTCTCTCCTTCAAGCGTTTTTCGCTTCTGCTAGCTTCTTGTCTGTTACGGTTGATCTCTTCCCGGTTGATGACTTTCTCTCTCGACGTGAACTGCCCTATCCAGTTTACTTATTCTTATGGACATCCGTTCATTTTGTTCTCCTATACTACCCACTATGTTTGTCAAGGCTTCTTCAATTGATGCTCTGTTTTCCACTAATGGCGTCACAAGTGGCGGTGTTACCCTGTCAATCCCAGGTAGCTTGGTGTTGGTCGAGATTCGGGCTTTGATTCTCTCGATGTCTTTTCACTATCCACATCTGGATCCGCCGGTGCGTTGCTTAGCCCTGTGTTCTTACTCTGCCCAGTTCGCATTTCCGAGTCCCTTTATCGGTGTATGCGCCATTCTCCTGAGTTGAGCTTTTGAGGCTGACTTGAGATCCAAGGTCATCCTGCCCTTCATGGTCCGCTTCTTCTTCCTGGGTTTCTGCTTCATCGCCTGTACCCGTTCCCATAGTAAATGGAAAGAAGTTTCCTAAAGTGTTCTTCACTCTTTCTGAAAACGATGAGGACCTTGCCGTTTTTTCCGTCATGCCAACCATCATGGTGCAGTCTGTGGGTGATCTTGTAGTCGTCACATTTCAGTAAAGATGTCGGACAGTTCCGACATCTCTTCTCGGTCCAAGGTCCCGGTTGAAATGGCAAAACCCTGGCCTTGTTCTACCGGAGTAGATTTACTCGCCAATCTACTGTTTCCTCTCCCTTCCGGTCCATGTCCCTCCTGGTTCTCATCCATGGCAGGGTCCGAATGGACCTCTACCTCTAACCTTGCCTTTTGTCCTTCTGATGACTTTTGACTCCTGGTTTCAACCATTATGCTTGAAACTTTCTTCCCTTTGTCGTTCCGGGTTCGTGTGATCTTTTCCACAAAAGGGTCATTCATTGCTTTTTTCTGTTTCTCTGGTATGAACTTCCTGGAGCTATCACCTAGTTTAGGTATCCTTGACTTGTCTACACTCAATTCAACTTGCTAGTGTCCTTTTATGCTGACTACTGATAATAAAAACACAACACAATAAATTCCAAAAGTTTCAAATAGTGACCACGAATCCTTGTATGTTATCACAGTACAGCGTGTATACCATTTAGTCACAATAATCGATTATTAGGTGCAAGATATGATGCTAGCACAGTCTGATGATATCAATATATTTGAAAGATAGTATTCTCACTACTCAATCAAGCACAAATATTATTTAATTAAAATGAAAAAGGAAGAAAAACAAGAATATTTTCAATGAAAAACGTATGTGTTTTGTCGCAAAGTGATAGTCGAACTTGTTTCTAAAGAAAGAGCTTTCCTTGTTCGGTCCTGCACCAAACAGACAAAAATTGAAGGCAGTAATTTCCTCAAGTGGGCGTCTATTGCACCCACCGAGTCCTGTGTTAC